CATGTGAACTTTATGCCTTTGAATCTTGCAGGGTGACACACCATCTTGACTCCCAGCACAGCAGGTGATTCATGTGATTGATAAATAACTGCTGATCCTCCCAGATGAGTTCCTGAGAATTCAAGTCCAACCTCACAAAAGGATTTAAGTGCCCAGCTCTGTAAGAGGGTATTACAGGCTCTGAGTTTACCGTACAGGGAACAAAGTCAGCTGAATAACTATGGTGTGATGTGATTTTTCAGCGGTTGGCATATGGAGCAAGTGGGTGCTTAGACCAGCTGATAGCAAATGCTAAAGAGGGGGATGTGTCTGAAATCTTCCATCTTTCCTGGATTTAGGAGTGCTAAGTCAAGGATTCAGTCTAAACTCCCTCCCAGTTCTTGGACACCTTACTCATGATGTCAGGTGTCAGTTGTGCTCAGGCACCGCTCTTGCAGAGAAATTCCCAACTGTCTTTCCATTAACTCTACTGCAACCTTGTACTTTTCATGTTAGCAAATGAAACAGGTTCTCCTTCTAGCCAGAAAGTGAACCGAGCCCAGGAAGCGGCTCCTGAATATTGGTGTAAATCTGTTTAAGTCAGTGAGATTGTTCTTTTAGGAAACTCCACCTCTGAACTCCAACAGCACTGAACAGAATACATATATACAGTACAGTTTTCCTAGCAATCGCCACTTGCCTGCTAAAAGACTTGGATAGCAGGGTCACAGGATAACCAGTTCTTCTCCAGAGAAGAGTAACTGAAATTTGCTGAAGTTCCCCTGGTTCCTCCAATCATTTGTCTGCTGGATCAATGTACATCCCTCTGCCCTTCGACTTTGACTGTTCCTTCACCTAAGTGAAAAATTGCCAGAGAAGTCGTGTTAGCCAAGACCAAATCTGCAGTTGCTGACATTTGTTTCTTGTTCAAATAGTAGAGAGATCCAGAGCAATTTGACATGTGGGAGCACAGAACAAACCCTACCACTTAACCAACAAGTACATTTGTTTTCTGACTGAAATGCTAAGTGCTACAGCCCTTCAAAACCTAATTTGTTTCAGACAAAAAAGAGTTGGCCCTGGGATCTTGGCAATTAAATATCCAGTATTGTGAGCTTGATTTTTCACTCAACTGTCTCTAGTGTAACTAAATTGGAGAGTTGTTGAGAGTACACTGATTTAAATCATCTGTGAAGAACCACCCCTCAGTTCAAAAGCTACTTTTTCCCTCTTGTTCCCATCAGATATGATCTTCATTGCCTGTCCTAAACACTTACATAAGGTTGGCAGTCATGTCTCTCTGTTTCTAGATACACAATTCCAGAAAAAAAACAAACCCCACTTTCCAGTGTGATTTAGCACGTACATAAGCTAAAACCATGCCTACAAAAGCTGTCTGCACAAAACCCAGCACATCTGATATGCACGACACTGAATTTTGCCCTTTTGTGGTTCACGGTGGTTCATGGGGACTGGGTATAGAGGACTCCGACCACTTGGCCAAGTGCCGGGGTGTTTGCCACCAGCCTGAGTAAGGTGTGATGGAGCTCATTGTGTGGAGAAGTGACATAATGACCTGGACACCAATTAGATCTGCATTGTGGAGGACATTTCTGAAGAGGTCCAACTGATGTATTGCTTCTTTACTTGCACCTCTCTCACGTCTTTCATAATTATGCTTATACTGTTGGTTTAATTTGTCCACTCTGCCAATTCTTTCTACTTCTCGTGCACAATATTTGTTCTTTTGTTGCCATCTCCTTATGTTTCCCTACTTGGTGGTTTTTCTAAACACGGGACAAGGCTGTCTCTGCTGTCTCTCTCTGAGCAGCACTGAAGGCGTGGGGGCCCTGGGTATCATCACCATGCAAGCAATTAATAACAACACAGCAGGGTTGATCATGATTTTGTTCCCATCAGACTGTAGGTGGGTAAGATTGACTAATACCTCCACAGATTTCTTTTAGATGTGTGTTTTCCCTCTTTATATGCAACAGGTTTAGTCTTTAGTTTATTTCAGCTGATTTTTAAATATTTTTCCTGTCTGCATGATAATTTTATTGATTTATTCTGTTCTGGTGGCATCTATTTCCAAAATGTAAAATGAGAGTTGACTAGTAGTTATGAAGAGACAAATGGAGAGTCTCAGGATGAAGATATAAGTGTATTAACTAACCCTCAAGGAGGGTGACCAATCTGCTGCTCTCCAGGCACATGTAATTTGTGTGGTGTTCACGTATGCCAAGGTAATTCCACTGGTCAGACTAAAGGTCTTGCTTGCCTGGTACCCTGTCTCTGACACCAGCCAGTCAGAGGTACCTAGGGGAGACTATAGGAATCAAGAGGAGGGCCACGAATATGACCCAAGGGCTGGAGCACCTCTCCTATGAGGACAGGCTGAGAGAGTTGGGGTTGTTCAGCCTGGAGAAGAGAAGGCTCCAGGGAAACCTTATAGCACCTTCCAGTACGTAAAGGGGCTACAGGAAAGCTGGAGAGGGACTGTGACTAGGGCATGGAGTGACAGGACAAGGGGGAATTGCTTTAAACTGAAAGAGGGTAGATTTCGATATTACATATTAGGAGGAAATTCTTCACTATGAGAGTGGTGAAACACTGGAACAGGTTGCCCAGAGAAGCTGTGGCTGCCCCATCCCTGGCAGTGTTCAAGGCCAGGTTGGATGGGGCTTTGGGCAACGTGGTCTAGTGGAGGGTGTCCCTGCCCATGGCAGGGGGTTGGAACTAGATGGTCTTTAAGGTCTATGAAACCAGGGAAGCATTTTGCAATACTTCCCCAGCCTATTTTCCTGGCTTCTAAAAATTTTCCTTTGAGGTATTCCTTCTCACCTTATCAGTACCGGTACAGAGGTTGTTTGGTCATCCAGATCCAAATTGTAGGAAGAAGTGAGTAAAGAGGGAATTTCCTGTGGACGCAGCTGAACATCTAGGCAGCCCCATCCCACTGGTGCCAATTTGGGACACATGGAAACTCTTGTAAACTATTCATAGAGCTCTGCTTTCCCTAGTTCCCTGAGGAGTGTGATGTATGCCCTGTGTCTTGGGCATCTGCTTGGTAGCACCAAAGAAGCTGGTCACTTATGGTCTTCAAGTCTCAGAGACTGCTTGCAGTAAATAAAAAGTTTCACTGAACACAATACAACTAGCACCAACTGTATCCACCACACACTGTGTTTGGCTAAATGTGATTTTTTTATTTGCCTATCATGTGGTTCTTCATGGAAGTCCCAATGCAATTAGAAGGGTAAAACCAGTAAGTAGTTTGTTCCCATTTTTTGCTCTTTCCTTTTTTCATTGGTACAGTTCTGTTGTGTAAGTGTATTATAAAACAGAAGGAAATAAAATTGGTTATATGGAAAATCAAGAACATCTGATGTCTAGAAAGAATAAGAACTTGGGGATGACAGGCTGCAGACATCTGGATTTTTATTTAAACAGTCTTCAGGTTTGTATCTGAATCCTCTTTTGAAAACCTAATATATTTTAAAAATCCTTATTGACTGTCTAATACTATGCAGGTGTGTATTTGATTTTATCTTCATACTGACATATTGTCCAAGTGAAAAAGCCTTGAATTAATTCAAGTACAATTTAGAAGTTGGCACCAGTGCATTAAAGTAAGAAGATAGATAGAAAAAAAGAGGAGGCAGAGAAGTAGGCTGAAGTTTAAATATCCATCTTTCAAGGCTTGTGCCTGGGGAGTTAGTTTCTGAGTCTGGATCAGACTTTGCAAAGTGTGAAGTGAGAGCAACCCCCCTGATTTACAGATGAAGGTACCCCCAGCTGTTAAAGCAGGCGGAGATCTGACAGCACAGGGGTTAATGTGAGGCATGTGCACAAGTCCTGCTGTGATAAAACCAGAGGCGGTTAGACCTTTTGCTCCAAAAGACACTCCGGCACTGCCAGGAGATTCATTTTGTCTGCAAAATCAGGCATGTAATTTCCCCTCTCCCTCGCTCTCCCCTTCTGTCTCCGTCTTGGCCAGTCCTGTGGCTCAGCGCGGCAGCGGCCAGTCTCCCTGGTGACAACCGGCACGGCTGACCTTCAGCGGAGCCGTGCGAGATGCGCTTTCACTGCAGGACGTGGGCTAGGAAGTCACTAAACTGGCTTTTTTCCTGCCGGCTAGGAGAGCACGAGAGCAAGCCTGGGGAAACCCTGAAACATCTCTGTGCTTGAAAGAAAAGAAGTGAAGAAATGAAGTAAATAAAAAACCCAAAACCAAAACCAATCAAAAAAAACCCCAACCCCCAAACAAACACAAACAACTCCAAACCATTTGCCCCTCAGGATCCAAATTGCATCTGTGTAAAGCTCCCAGCTTACTTGCAGTTACGTTAGATTTACACGGTGGTCACAGAGGATAAAACTGATCCCCACCATGCATCAGTTAACACCAGCTTGTGTGAGCCTGTGTAAATACCCGTGTTTCTCCGTACAGCCGTTAAGCTTGGCATCAGAAACAAGTCCAAGACTCCACAGAGCCAGCAGAAGAGATATTTCTACCTGTTTTCAGATGAAACAGAGGTACTTAAGTCTCTAGAGTGTGAATTTAGTTGCCAGTTTTATTTAGTACTTTCAGATGTCATCTGCCGCCGGTGAAGCTGAGTGTGAATAACTTACCAGCCTGCACAGATAACTTTGCTTTTTGTTTCAGTCCAGCTCGAGACAGAAATCCCAGAAAAGCTTTCACTCTAATCCGTGTGCTGAATGATGATACAGGAGTTAAAGAAGTGAGGGTAGCATTCCTGAGGCACTCGTAAAGACTTTTCCAAGGATTTTAAAAAGCCTCTTAAAAACGGCAGCAGAGATCGAACGCTGTTAAGGGAGGGGAAAAAAAAAAAAAAAAAGGAAGAAAAAACTTTGGCAGGCATACAGTGTCTTACATCAATCTAGCAGTCAGCATCTATGTAGATATTCTTTCCTCCTTTTGTGCAACACCCCTTCCCTCCTACAGACCACCCAAAGCCCTATAAATAATCCAAGGACTGTATTTTTTCTCCAGATTTCTCTTCAGACCTCAAAAGGAAAAATATCAGGCAAAGGAAGGGAGAGAGGGAGAAAGGAAAGTGAGGAGGGGAGAGAAAGAGAGAGGAAAGATGGCTAGTGAATTCAAAAAGAAGATCTTCTGGAGGGCAGTGGTGGCTGAGTTCCTTGCCATGAGCCTTTTTATTTTTATCAGCATTGGCTCGGCTCTGGGTTTTAGCTTCCCAGTGGTGGGCAACAAAACGTCAACAAGGTCTCAGGACAACGTGAAGGTTTCATTGGCTTTTGGGTTATCCATTGCTACCATGGCACAAAGCGTGGGCCACATCAGCGGTGCACACCTGAACCCAGCTGTGACCCTGGGCCTCCTGCTGAGCTGCCAGATCAGCATCCTCAAGGCGCTCATGTACATCATTGCCCAGTGCCTGGGGGCAGTGGTGGCCACAGCTATTCTGTCAGGAGTCACCTCCTCTCTCCCAAACAACCTCCTGGGGCTCAACTCGGTAAGTAGAAACTTTTAATTCCTCCAATTTTTTCGAGTAAAAATGTAACACCTGTAATCTACTAAAGGGGTATGTGTGTGTGGGGGGGGTGTGTGTGGTGGTGATGGTGACCTCAGGAAGCCAACTTCTTATTGTAGCAAGGGATCCAGTCCTGACTGATACCAGGATGGATCTATGTCATAGGGATGGTCCTTCCTCCCCACCCCCATTTCGGAGCTTTAAGACGTTATGGTCATGATCAGTTTTGCTTATGTTCAATTTTGTACTTCCAATGTGCTGAAATATGTCTTTTGACACCAATTTAACATTGAAATTACTGGCAGTTGCATGATCAAGTCCATCTCGTGGTTCTGAAGGTCTCAGGTAACATGCTGATCAATGTGCCTATACCAATGTTGTTTTCGCTTCTGTGAATGTGTGAATTCTTTTTCGATACCTAATTAATGTTTGTGTAGCTTGATGATGACTGCAATGAAAACCTACGGGAACAGTGAGAGAGAAACCCTGTCACCAAAGGTGTGAGCATTACCTGTTGCACTAGGCAGAGCGCTCAGATCCTGTCTGACACAGAATCCCAGCTGCAGTTTGTGTGTGTTTCTCCTTTAGCTATGCAAAAATGGGAAAATCCCTGAATTCTCAGGTGTAGACTGGAGAAAGATGTGAGGCATCTACATTTAACAGGGATGCAGGTTTCAGCCCTCTCCCAGCCAGATGCTCACAGCTATTGACCATCATGCTGCATAAAAACTGTCTGGCCACAACTCCTCCTCCTCAAAATGTTGTAATTTTACTGTTGTCATTGTACCATAACAGAGGAAAAAAATGATAGATACACTTTTAAACTTGAAATCATCCCACTGTTAGAGGCAGTGCTACAGCCACTGCAGTGCACAGAGTACTATAAATGGAAATTGCCTTCTAGTCACTTATTTCACCTGATTCTGTTAAGAACAAATATTTCACATCTTTTCTATGGCCCCTTTCTTGTAGAATATTCCTGACTGCTTTGAAACTTGAGCTAATTTGAAACCTTCTGCCTCTTTGAAGTCACAGGGATATTTAGGACATAAAGCTGCAAATACAATATCTCTTCAGAAATCATTTAGGCAAAAGGAGATGAAAGGATAAAAAAAAACCCTAATAAAGTAATATTATTATTATTTTTATTATTATTATTGCATGCTGTGGCATTACAGTTAATTCAGAATATGTGGCAGTTTTTGAAAACATAATAAAATCTGGTATTAAGAAGGTGGTTCCTGAGCAGCTTGCGTTACTCTGCAAAGTAGCTGCTTACCTC